CCATCCTTACAAGTATCCCCATATTGTGGGTGAGAAAACTGGAGCAAGAGTCAGAATTTGAACCCGGGTTTATGTCACTTCAGTCCCTGGCCTCAAATGGCCTCTCCTCCTGGACAGAATATGTTTATTCTGGCATCTGATATTATAAAAATTCATTAGAAACATACATAGTTTAGGTGTCCATTAATGGTGTACCCTTTTAAAAATTCAGATCATTCATTCTAAAAAATAAGCAAAAATGCTGTAAAGTATCCATGGTCCTTGAATATTAATATTAATATTGAACGAGCTCCATCTTCAGCTCCCCACTCCTGTTCCTTGTTCCTGCCATCTCAACTTGCCTCGCTCTCTGGTGGACACAGCCCCCTGCTTCAGGTCCTCAGCCCCACGTGGACAGGCCTGTTGTTGAACAAGATATTATAGCACATGGATTTTAGCAACCACAGTTCTTGAATTTCTTCAGCCGTCTCTGCCCTGGAAAGTTCTCACTGGTTATCTTGCATTAGGCCTATGCATGCCAGCACTCTGAAATCTTTTTCTCATCTCCCCTTCAACTCCCAAGACTCCCAAGCCTCCTGGCCTGTACGTTATCCTGAGACACCAAAACTTCCCACTCTTTGAATGTAGAGTGCAATTTAGACCTGTCTGAGTCTTTCCCGTTTAGAATAACTCAGGTTCATGATGTTTTCATAAACAAAATAATTCTTCTATAATGGTTTTCTCCCCTTAGTAATACAGGAGGGTATTACTGCAACAAGAAGCAGCTTGAGAAGATTTTCTTTTTTACTATCATAACTTTTTCAGTTGTTAAGACAGAGTTTTGCTCTGTCACCCTGGCTAGAATGCTGTGATATGATAGCTCACTGCAACCTCAAACTCCTGGGCTCAAGTGATCTTCCTGCCTCAGTTTTCCAAATAGCCAAAACTATAGGCGTGTTCCACCATGTAATAATAATTTTTGTATTTTTTGTAGAGATAGGGTCTTGTTCTTGCTCAGGCTGGTCCCAAGTGATCTTCTGCCTTGGTCTCCCAAATTATAGATGTGTACCACCATACCTGGCCTTTAATTTCTTTTTCTTTTCTTTTTTTTTTTTTGAGACAGAGTCTCACTTCGTCACCCTTGGTAGAGTGCTGTGGCTGTCATGGCTCACAGTAACCTCAAATTCTTGGGCTTAAGTGATTCTCTTGCTTCAGCCTCCTGAGTAGCTAGGCACCCACCACAACACCTGGCTATGTTTTTTAGAGATGGGTCTTGCTCTTGCTCTGACTGGTCTTGAACTCCTGAGCTCAAGTGATCCACCTGCCTCAGCCTCCCAGAGTGCTAGGAGCACAGCCGTGAGCCACCAGGTCTGACTCCTCCCGCACTTTAATTTCTAATTGTAGTTGTTTAAAAGTAGGTAATGTTCAGAGAGTTCTATTTTGGGTGCCTATTGCCATCTAGAACATACCATAAGCAAGAAGTTAATAATTTGTCATTAACTGAGTATTCACCAACTTCTTTTCCCTCTGATGTCTTTATATAGATTAATAACTTCAGAAATTTCTCTTTAGGTTACGTAACTTGGAAAACAGCTACACTGAATTATAACCTTTCTAAAGTTCTAAGAGATTTTGTCTTAGAATCCCATAAAATCCTGAGAACTTGAGTGAATCCCAACAGGGTAAATCTGCAGAGAATGCAGGATGAGCTCAACCCCATCTTCACTGAACAAGTGCAGGCCATGATGGACCTTCATTCCTACCACGGCCAGAAGGTGGATGATGTAGGGGCATCCATATTTTGTGAAGTTTCCTTTGAAAAGATTCTGATCATCACTGGATTTTCTTTTTCTTTTTTTTGAGACAGTCTCAAGAGGTCGCACTGGGTAGAGTGCTATGGCGTCACAGCTCACAAGCAACCTCCAACTCTTGGGCTTAAGTGATTTCTTGCCTCAGCCTTCCAAATAGCTGGGACTATAGGTGCCCACCACAACGCCTGGCTCTTTTTTGGTTGTAGTTATCACTGTTGTTCAACAGGCCTGGGCTGGATTTGAACCCACCAGCTCCGGTGTATGTGGCTGGCGCCCTAGCCACTGAGCTACAGGCACCGAGCCATCACTGGAGTTTCAACAGGGGTTCAAATGGTAACAAAGAAAGAGATGCACACAAGGCCTTTACTTCTCTCTGTGGGTTAGACACACCTCGTTACCTTCTATCTGTTGAAAGAGGGCAGTCGGAGGACAAACCAGAATTTGGCTGCTTCGTGCTTTTTAGATGCCATCATTAATAATTCATAATTGAGAAAACTTTACCAGATTAAATAAATCAATTTTTTTTGAGTTTTGTTCCATCACCCTGGCTAAAGTGCAGTGGCATCACCATAGCTCACAGCAACCTCAACTCCTGTGCTCAAGCAATCCTCCTGCCTCAGCGTCCCAAGTAGCTGAGACTACAGATGCACACCACCATGGATGGCTAAGTTTTCTATTTTTTTTTGTAGAGATGGGGTCAACTCCTGATCTCAAGTGATCCTCCCACCTTGGTTTCCCACAGTGCCAGGATTATAGGCATGAGCCATGGCGTCCAGCCTGAAATTCGATATTTTTGTTTGTAATTTACCTTTAATTTTTTTCAGTGTCCTTAAAATGCAGGCCTGCCATAAATTCACTTTGAACAATTATTTTAAATAATAAATGGGATCCCAGTGCTCCGTGATACAAGGATGGATCCCAGACTCCAGTTCGCGCCTTCCTCATGCCTCAATTGAAGGCTTCTGATGAGTAGCTCTGTTAGGAAGTCATACCTGATTGTTGACTTGAAGAAGTGGACACTTACATCTAACATCTTTTTATCTTTAATTTAAATTAGTTTATCTGATGATAAACTGTCGAATAATTTGGCCTACAGCTTCTCTGTGATGGTGATGGAAATTCAGGACGAACAAAGTGATTTTCAAGGCAGCTGATCTGGGAGGGTGCCTGCCTCAGAATCTGAAGGAATGACAGATGAAAGTCTCCCTTCCCTCCCCGCGAGCTTCATAAATCAGAAATGGCATTCCTTTCCTGGAGTGGGAAGCTTCTGTAAATGTGATTTTATACTTTCTGAAAGCTATGGTTTCCAACTTCATGGTATATTTGGGGAGGTCAGCATCATACAAGGAAGTTTTTTCAAATACATGCGTTAAAAACACACACACCCCCTCCCTTCCTGGGATGAACGCCAATGCATGCTGCCTAGATATTTTTCTGAAAAATAAGGCCCTCTGAACTCTGACAGAATGCTGGGGAATCTCTGTGATGTGTTACAAAGGCAGGTGTTATGCCTGGCGGGGACGGGGTGTGGGTTGGTCCCACCACGTCTGTAACAGGTGCCGGGGAAGGAGGTTTGCTCTGTTTTCCTCTCTTCCTTCACTCTTCAGAGAAACCATGACAGAAAGAACTTTATTGGCTCTGAGTCCAGTTCATTTCACTAGTAACAAACATCTCTGCTCCATCATTGGGCATGGGAAAGGAGAAGAAAGGAAGAACCGTTTAAAGAGCTAGTATTTCAAAGAGAGGATGATGATAATCCCAGGGTCAAGGATTTCCATCACGGTTTTTTAAAATTATTATTGTTGTTTTTAGAATTCCAAGAAAATCAAACCTGGGCAAGTAGCTTACCTTGTGTCCTTGTTTCCTCTCCTTTATTTATTTTTATTTAAAAAATTTTTTTATCGTTTTGGAATTCATTAAGGGCACAAAGAATTAGGTTACACTGATCGCAGTTGTTATATAAAGTCCCTCTTATAATAATGTCCTGTCCCCAAGTGGTGTGCCCCCCTCCCCTCTCCCTACCCCCTCATTCCCCCTGCCCCATCCCTACTGCCTTCATATAAGAATGAGTACATCAGATTCTTGCTTCTCCATTCTTGTGATGCTTTACTAAGAAGAATGTGTTCCACTTTCATCCAGGTTAATACAAAAGATGTAAAGTCTCCATCTTTTTAATGGCTGAATAGTATTCCATGGTATACATATACCGCGACTTGGTAATCCATTCTTTAATTTTTTTTTTTTATTGTAGAGTTAAGGATCTCACTATGTTGCCCAAGCTTGTTACAAACACCTGGCCTCATGCAATCCTCCCACCTTAGTTTTTCAAAGTGCTAGGATTATAGGCATGAGCCACCATGCCTCATCACCTTTACTTTAAATGAGAATCATAATAATATAGGTGGTGGTGTTATACTGATAATGTTGTAGAAAAAATAGTGCAATAAAAACAAGGTGAAAAGAACCAGATGAAATATTCTGAGTGCTTACGATGGACCAGGCACAGTTCTAAAAAATTGACACATTTGAGCTCGTTTAACTCTCAACAACATAAAAGGAGTGAATATCTGTAAAGTGTTCAAATCAGAGCAGGGCAGAGGGCAAACACTTTGTCAGCTGGGATTCTGAAATACTGCTAGCTAATAATCTGCATGGTTAAACTCATTCTCTGTTCTGATGGGTAGTTAGGTTTCCACTATTACAAACTGCGCTTCAGTGAACAGCAATTCTTTGTGCATGTGCAAGAATTGCTGGCTGTCATGAATTTAGCCTGTTTCCTTCTTTTTGCAAAAAATAAATAAATAAATAAATGTTTCCTTTTAAGAGAGTCTTAAAATGTAAATAAAAGATCACTTTTTTCTTTAAATATTGACTTGTAAGTAGCATTTGGATTACAGTGTGCTGCATACACCAAACGGAGTAAAGGTTGATTACTAGCGATTCATTTTTTAATTTGCCAAATAAGTCAGAGGATAAATTTGACTAAAAATTAACTATATAAACAGAAGGAATTTGGGAAGGATGGTTCCCAGTTTCTCAGCCCCTGTTTTCTGTTGGTTTTTTGTTTGCTGTTTATTATATTGTTCTTATTGTTTTTGTTTGTTTCTGCAGATTGGTGTTAACTGCTGGCTTTGTGACCACGTACTGTTTTCTAGTTTAAGATAAAGAAAAATACTTTGGGTTTTGGGACACATCTTAACAAGCTTTGTTGTGCTCACTTTGGCAGCACATACACTAAAATTGCAACGATACAGAGAAGATCAGCATGGCCCCTATGCAAAGATGACATGAAAAATCTCGAATGTTCAACATTGTTAAGTATAGGAAAGTCCTGAATATTTCAAAATTACACAACTCATCTCTAAAAAACGTCAAGCGTATATGAAGAAATGACAAAGGAAAGTACAAAACAATGAATGAGACAATAATGAAACTTCAACATATCAAAAGTGTAGGAAATAAAACACGTAAAAATGCCAATATGTAGATTCAAATATTTGTGCTATAGTTTTTATAAAAGGAACAATAAAACGTTACAAAGTTTTATCTAAACTTATCAAGGAAAAAGACATAACTTTGAAAAAACTCAACACTCATTTTTGGTAAAAATCTCAGAACACTGGGCGGCGCCAGTGGCTCAAAGGAGTAGGGCATCCGTGGCCCCATATGCCGGAGGTAGCAGGTTCAAACCCAGCCCCGGCCAAAAGAAAAAATATCTCAGAAACACTAAAAACAAAAGGGACTTCCCTTAACCACATAAAGGACATGAGGGAAGTATAGAAGAGGAACTATTTAGAGAGCTATGCCATGCTATAATTGTGGATGACTCAAACTTGTTCAGGTACTATATTTGTCCAAATACATACAAATATTTAATGCATTGGCTCAGCGCCTGTGGCTCAAGTGGCTAACCCACCAGCTCATACACCTGAGCTGGCAGGTTCGAATCCAGCCCAGCCTGCCAAACAACAATGATGGCTGCAACCAAAAAATACCCAGGCATTGTGGCTGGCGCCTGTAGTCCCAGCTACTTGGGAGATAGAGGCAGGAGCCCAGGAGTTGGAGGTTGCTGTGAGTTATGATGCCACAGCACTCTACCCAGGGCCACAGTTTGAGGCTCTATCTCAACAACAACAACAACAACAACAAAATATATATATATATTTAATGGATTCTTAGTAAAAACTAGAGCACAAGTTTTGAGACTTGGCAAGGTGATTCTGAAGTTTTGTATTGACATCTGAATGGCTTAGAATGGCAAAAATATTTAAAAAATAAATCCTATTACAAAGAAGCAGAACTTAACATATATACTTAATATGCAATTTCAAGATACTTTTAAGACTTTAAAGTAATATTATATTGAATTAATTGATAATTTGCTTTTGAATACCTAGACAACACAATTTTAATACAACTGTAATCTCATTTAATATAATATAGTAAATTGACATATGTATAACTGTAGGTTATATTAATGCTTGTGTTCTTATTTGAAGAGATGTATTAAATGAATGTTCTGGTATCAGAATTAAAAAAGTAATACGTTTTTTTGTTTGTTTTGTTTTTTGCAGTTTGGCCAGGGCTGGACTTGAACCCACCACCCTCAGCATATGGGGCCATGCCCTATTCCCTGAGGCACAGGCGCCACCAAAAGTAACAAGCTTTGCCAACTGTTCTCCTATTGCCCTTGCTGTATGTTTGATGAATTAAGACTGGAGAGTTTAATGGGGCAGGCCCCAGCTCACCTGAGCACTAGTGAGAATGAAACCCCAGGCCATGTCTTTGCCCACTGCTTCTTGATTTGCTGTTAGTGTTGAAACAGATCATCCAAGAAGCCAGCCTCACAAACTGAAAAGATGACAGCAGGGCTGATTGATAAAAATACGTAGCAGGTGCCATGTAGGTGTATCAAATTGTGGCCATTATTATTTTGGGGAAACCATCCCCTTCAATGTAATTGTTGTCAGAAATAAGGGCAGTCAGCCAGCCCCGGGGGGTTCACCCCTGTAATCCCAGCATTCGGAGAGGCTGAAGCAGGAGGACTGCTTAAACTCAGGAGTTTAGAGCAAGACTCCATTTCTATAAAAAATAGAAAAATTAGCTGGGTCGGTAGTACCAGCTGCTCAGGGGGCTGAGGCATGAGGATCATTTGAGATTGCTGTGAACTATGACACTATAGCACTCTACCCAGGGCAGCAGAGAGAGACTCTCTTTAAATAAGAAAGAAAGAAAGAAAAGAAAGCAAGATCACAAGGAAAAGCTGGGTGTGATGGTGAGCGCTTATAATCCCAGCTATTTGGGAGGCTGAGGTAGGAGAATTGCTTGAGCCCAGGAGTTCACTGCTGTAGTCAGTGAGCTACAGAGACCCCCACTCCAGAAAAAAAAAAAAAGAAAGAAAGAAAGAAATTTACTATTCCTGTGTTGTTCAAGGGTCAATTGTATATCCGTATCTTGAAATTAAAGGATGATAGATTATTGTATTCTATTAATTAAACTGGAAGGAAAATCTGTTGAAGACCAGGTGTCAGTAGTTGAGATAACCACTGGCATTCTCTGGTCAGGGTTAGGCAAATGTTTAGCTGAGTCCTAGGAGTTTCAAAACAGCAAGACCAGAAGGCTTCCTCCTTCAACAACAGCAGCCTTCATGGAGATGTTCTGCAGGAGCTTTAGTTTGAAGAAAAGGTTTCATTACTTAAAAGTAGGTGGGTGAGAGATTGTGGTGGAAATCACTGTTCTAGAGAATTTGAAGCAAAAGCTACCTGAAATGACTTTACATTCTAAGTTATACTTCTTTTTCTCTTTAAAAATCAGTGTGTTCTAAGTGTTATTGACTTTATAATAATATAAAATTATTTCTGCCTCAATTTTAAAGATTTAAGCACTTAGAATTTTAGAGATAAATGAAAAACTACAGAATACTTTACAAATTTGTAGTCATTTTTGGTCAGGGGCCATGCTAGTCTTCTCTGCAGGTTCTAATTCTAGTATATGTGTTACCAGTGTGAGAGACCATTTGTTTATATTTTAAAGTGAGGTGGTTAATATTTTTTATTAATTTGTAGAAACTTTTTATATATTGTGGATATTAATTTTTGTTAAATATGTTAAAAAATTTTTTCTGCTTAGCTTGTCACTTGTCTATTAATTTTATTTATGGTCACTTTCTTAGCAGAACTTTTTAATTTTTTTTTTTTTGAGACAGAGCCTCAAGCTGTCCTCCTGGGTAGAGTGCTGTGGCATCACAGCTCACAGCAACCTCCAACTCTTGGGCTCAAGCGAGTCTCCTGCCTCAGCCTCCCAAGTAGCTGGGACCACAGGCACCCACCACAACACCCGGCTATTTTTTGGTTGCAGCTGTCATTGTTGTTTGGCAGGCCCGGGCTGGATTCAAACCCCCCACCTTAGGTGTATGTGGCTGGTGCCTTAGCCACTTGAGCCACAGGCCCTGAGCCTGAACTTTTAAATTTTTATGTGGTCAAATATATGTCTTTTTCTCTGGTTTGGGGTTTTACATTTTATTTTGAATGGCATTCTTTTTTTTTTTTCAGTTTCTGGCCAGGGCTGGGTTTCAACCCGCCACCTCCGCATATGAGGCTAGCGCCCTACCTTTTGAGCCACAGGCGCCACCCTTGAATGGCATTCTTAATCCAAGTTTATGGATATATAGTATTTCCTCTATTTTCTTCATAGTTATGTTTTTAATATTTATATTTGAGATAGAGATGTTGCTATATTTTTCTTTCTGGATGAATATTCAATAATTTCAATACCATTCATTTAATAGTTTATCTATTTCTTGCTTCTTTGAAACATTACTTGCATCAAAATTCTCATTCAAAGTCTATTTTGAACTTGCTATACTGTTACATTGATTCTATTTTTGTTGATACTATTTTTCTGCATTGATACCACACTGTTTTAATTATTATAGATTTATAGCATGTTCTGTTATCTGGTAGGCCAAGTTTCCCATCTCCATTTTTTTCCATCTTTATTTTTTAAAAAGATGGCAACTTTTACTCCTTAATTTCTCTTTCATATAAGCTTTCAAGGTGGCTTGTCACATTTTAAAAGACTGGTAAAATTCTTGTTGGAGTTATATTGAGTTTATGCCTTAACTTGGGAAGATTGAAATCTTTGTATAGTTTATTATTTTATTTCAGAAAAAAATGTATCTTTCTTCTTTTACTGTGGTCTTTTATATCTTTCAAAACATTTTTCTAGTTTTCTTAATAAAAGTCTACACATTTCATGTTAGCTCTATTTCTAAGTATTTTATAATTTTCTGGTATTGTAAATAAAATGTTTTTGCTACTATCAAATTCATTCTTTAATTTTTATGTATTTGCTTTTTTTATCCAGACACCATACTAAACTCACTTATTCCCCCTCTTTCTTTTCCTTCCTACTTTTTTTTTTGATTAATTCTTCTGAAGTTCTATAGTTTCTTTTCTTTTCTTTCTTTTTTTTTTTTTTTTTTGAGACAGAATCTTACTATGTTGCCTTGGGTGGAGTGCCGTGGCATCACAGCTCACAGCAACCTCAAACTCTTGGGCTTATGTAATTCTCTTGCCTCAACCTCCCAAGTAGCTGGGACTAGAGGCGCCTACCACAACGTCCAACTATTTTTTGGGTTGCAGTTGTTGTTGTTTAGCCGGCCAGGCCTGGGCTCAAACCTGCCAGCTTTGGTGTATGTGGCTGGTACCCTACCCACTGAGCTACTGGTGCCAGTCCTGAAGTTCTATAGTTTCAACCATATACTCTCAAACCAGTTTGTTTCTACTTAGTATTTCTCTTTTACCTAGTTCTTTTATTTGAATGGAACTTCACATGTGGGCGGCACCTGCGGCTCAAGGAGTAGGGTGCTGGCCCCATATACCGCAGGTGGCGAGTTCAAACCTGACCCCTGCCAAAAACTGCAAAAAAAAAAAAAAAAAAGAACTTCATGTGCAATTTTTCAATAGTAGTAATATTTGAGGAAATCTTTGATTTTCTTCTAAATGAAATGGGAACATTTTTAATGATTCAAATTTGCTTTAGAGTTTCTGTTAGCATCCTTTGTCAGCTTTATTTCTAACCCTAGTTTTTTAAGATATGTTTAATGTAATGGTTGTTAAATTTTATCAAATAACTTTTTAGTATCTATTATGAATAATATAAAGTTTTCTTGATGATATGCTAATGCAGTGAATTATAAGGATAAATTTTCCTGGTGATATCAATTCAATCAAACTCTACTCATAATATTTAAATCATATTTATGTGCTTCTGGATCAAATTTACAAATATTTTAATTAGGATATCTGTGTGTAT